TGAGTTCCCTCTGAAAACTGTCAGTGGAAAGCTTGGGGAATGGGTATTATATAGAAGAGATGGATTATATAAGAGGACTTTTTGCCACAAGATGTCCAATACAATTAAATTAGAGAGTCTGCATCTTCATTTAAAAACTGCAGACAGCAGAGTCCAACTGTGCATCTTCCATGGAAGATAAATATTATTTATATTGCCTAGTGTATATGAGCTGAAAAGGGAAATATATTTTCCAATAAAATCTTCCAGGCTGGAAATACAGAAGAGTTTGCTTGAGTCCAAATGTATATTGCTTAGTCTCAATAGGAAAGTAAAGACTTATTAAGTCATATGTCAGCTGAGTTGAATTATTTATGTTGAATTCAACATGTTGAACTCGGAGATTCATCAACTTTATAGTAATATTTGTTAGAAAAGTACCCCCTTCTATCTATTTGGACTGACTTTTTATAATCTCTCTTGTTTATTATCTCTTTTATTTGAGGCAGTGGTTGCTGACCTGACTAATAGCTTTCATCTTTGTATTTCAAGCTGTTTCCATATGTGCAGGTGCTGTGGAATTTACTGTCTTTACATTGAAAAATCAAGATCTAGTCAATGTGTTTGCAGATGTTTAAATTAAAATATTTTTAAGGTAGAATTAAGGTATAAGGTTCTGATTTTAATAGAAGATACATTTAAGAGTCAGAAAATTTCAACTAATCTTAAGAATATGTATTTGAAAGTCCAGAAATCTAAATTTCACCAGATCAGAAAACAAAATTCTGGGAGCAGCTCTGAATTGTTTTGATACATCAGTACTTAGTAGGTGAAATCCAGTTAACTGTGGGTGTAAACTAAGCTTAGCCCAAAAAATTAACTGGTTCTAGACTTGTCCAGTTGGGGCCAAATTGAAATCTTATGCTGCTGAGAAGCCTGGAGTCAGTGTTGATCCCACCAGGTGAGTTAGGCCTGGACCATCTCCCACCACTCACATGGACACAGTTGGAACCATGGAACCATGGAATGGTTTGGGTTGGAAAGGACCTTAAAGCCCATCCCATGCCATCCCACCCCTGCCATGGGCAGGGACACCTTCCACATCCCAGGTTGCTCCAAGCCTGCCCAGCCTGGCTTTGGACCCTTCCAGAGATCATCCACAGCTGCTCTGGCACCCAGTGCCAGGCTCCCCACCCTCGCAGTGAACTGGCATTTGCTACCAAGGGCCCTTCCCTTTCTGAGAAGCAGAGGCACATTGCTAAGGTTTCCTCTCTGTTTGTAGGATCAATCCACATTGCAACAATTTATTTTTGCCTTTTAATACTGCCTGGCACTGTCTTTCCCTCTGCTCTTACACCTTCCCTTGAGCTACCCTGCTGTGGCAGAAATGGAGCCGGTGTGACCTCAGCGTGCCCTGGACAAAGATGCCACACTCCCAGGGAAGGGGGCAGGAGGGCAGGGTGGTGGCTGCCCAGCCCCACTTCAGCAGTGAGGTCCCCATGGTGTCACCAGCCCAGGGGACAGCAAAGCTTCCATCAGCTGCCAGCATAGCCCTGTCCTTCTGCTGCTCTCCTCAGCTGCAGCACAGTGCAGGGCCAAGGGCTTGTCAGGAGGGAAGTGATCTCTGAGTGCTTTATTGAGAGACAAACCTCTACAATTAGGAGTGAATTCTCTGCTAGTTTAGATGGAGATTTGAGCAGTGTTTTTCTGCTTATGAGAGAATTTTGTTCATCTCTTAACTTCAAGAACTCTTTTTTTTTTTCCATGAAGTTGCTTAGAGAGTCCTTTACCGTTCATCTGGTGCTAATGACTGCAATGACACATGTTCTAACAGCAGTGAAATGCAAGAAGCCAAAACTACCTTAACAAATACGGTTCATTTAACTAAAAGAGGCAGACTGAGCAGCAGGTGGAAGGGTTAAACAAAAGGAAAAAAAGATTATAAAAGTTTGTAGCTTTGGCTTCACTACAAATGGCTCTCTTGCAGACTTTATAGCATTAGTGTTGCTTCTCATAAACCTTGAAACCATTCATCCATTTAGAAAGATTAAATTGGTTAGTCATCCAGAACAGAAAACGGACACATCCATTTTGTCTGTTACCCAAAACCAGCTGAAGTATAATAAATGCAGTTGATGCCATTAAACTAAAGCATTGAGTATTAATGATGGCCTCAGCTGTGGTATTTACAGTTTGCCAGCTCTGTGTTCCTGATAGTATATTCATCTGCTGCTGCTCAGGGCCAGTCAGAGCAGAGCCTTTGAGTTGGAAAACATGAGTATAATATATGATGTGAGGGGCTCAGAGAAAACATCTTGGTATTAAAGCGGGGAAAATCCTACAAATGTTACAACTTTTGTTATTATTAGAAGGTCAAAGTTAAGAGGCACAAACTTCACTTAGGATATCCTAATATATTTATAATGGTCTGTTAAACAGTTTGCAAAGACAGGTTTGTTTGGATTTCCAGTTACAGATTAAGCTATTGCTATTTCAAGTTCTGTCACTTAAACAAGCCAGACAAAAATGGTCAGACTCTCCTAAAGCAGGAATTTGTAGAGGCTCTTGGTCAGGAAGCAAGTTTATTATTAAAATCTAATAAAAATTAGATTTAATTTAGCAGCATTTTTTTCCTGATTAATAACAGGATTTCAGAAGTAACACTCTTTCTCAGAATTAAGAAAATTTGCAGCGATTACTTCAGAATATGAAGACATTAAATTTTGCTGCTTTGAAATCTGTAAGATGTTCTCTCAAAGGCAAGGATTTACAGTGGGCTGGAAAAAACATGACATGTTTTTTAATTACTACATATAGTGCCTTTAATCAGAGCATCCAGCTTGACAGCATTAAAACTGGGAAGCCAACTCTGAGTTTCCAGTTCCATGCTGGAAATGCCAGCTCATTCCTATAGGAAACAGGAATCAATATCACAAACTGGCCATCATTCAAAGGAGAGCAGTGTGCCAGCTGTTCTTAAGCACATGCCTGAGCACCAGCAACTTGTGTGCAGCACAAGGAGGGACTCCAAATGAAATACCACAAACTTCCCTGACATTATTCCCAGGGAGTCCCAAAGTGCTGCTCCCTGTCACTGCCCACAGTGCAGCCCCAGGGAGATGAGAGCACTTCCAGGGAATGCAGTGGATTTGGCATCAGACACTGCTTAGGATTAGTTTGCTTTTCTTTCTGAAACATTTCTGGTGGCAGAAAAGCAACAATTTTCCCCCCATCCCCTCAGTATTTGTCTTTTACTGCAGATACAAATGGCAAAAATACCAGGAGGGAGTGAGGTGATCTGAAAGAGCCAGAACCTCATAAATTGTGTGGGAAAGGCTGTCTTGCCTTCTCTCTAACTGATGGCATGCCAAGTTTATTTTACAGTATTTACAGTAAGATTTGTTTGTTTTGATACCCTTTGTAAGTTGTTAGGGAAAAAGCAAAAGAAAATCTCCAGGAAGTTTATCGTTTGTGATGAGCCAGAGCTCAGGCTTTAATTTGCTTTCTAGCCCTATACTTTTTACTAGGAGTGTAATATATGAAGGGATATGAGATTGCAATTGGATGAGTTATTACTGGGCTGTTATTTATTTTCTCTGTATGAATTTGGTGCTTAAGAAAGGCCTCAGAGCAGCACGCTAAGGAAGTGGAATTGTTAGTTCATTCCAAGAGCAGATACAGGAGGGGCAGGGACAACCCTGGTTTCTCCTCCCTGTGTCACTGCTCTGACCTTGGCACACCACAGGGAGAAACCAGCAGCCTCTGCCTGTGTAGCTGAGGTGCAGAGGGATGACATGTGGGCAGATTTATCCATGATGGAGTGGTCCCTGTGTGCCTGTGCAGGCAGGGGATTGTCTGTGCTGAATTCCTGCCAGCTCCAGCACAGGCCTGGGAGGCAGAGCTCTGTCATGAGGAGAAGCCCCACCATCCTGCAGTACAAAAAGACACAAAAAGTGGTGCCTATTCTCAGGAATTAGGAAGAAGGAAGTGTTTTCTGGATGTACAACATCTTTCACTAGAGAATCCTGCCCTGAGTCTGTGGAGCAGGTCACCCACTGGTGTGGAAGTCTTCCAGGCAGGTGCTGCTCTTGTGAGCTTGTTGCACTGAAGGGAAAATAGGGGTGTTTGGGTTTAATGCTGAAGCCTCAATTGTTTGAAACAAACTTCTGAACACATTGTAGGGCCTTGGGTTATGGCAGGAGTTGAGAAATAGGAAACTAATGGTGTGTTTTATGTGCCATGACAAACAGCACAGCATGGTCTCACCTCTCCCTGAAACACGGGGTAGATGTGATGACTTTTCTCTCTGTGATGGCTTTTCTCTCTGTGGTGGAAACATTCACTGTTTCCATTTTTGACTGTCTGGGATGAAGCATGATTGCCAAATGCTAGGAGCTGTCCCTATGGAGCTGGGGAGGGATTTTCCTGAGGGCAGGCTGCCTCACTGACCCCTTCCATCCCTGCTCCTGGAGCAGCCACTCTCCTCCCAGGCAGTTCCCTCAGCAGGGTGATAAACCCAAGATGCACAACAGCAGTACAGACACAGCCTCCCTGTGCCAGTGCTGGTGCTGTGTATACCACTGAGTAGGAAAGAGAATTTTAGGGTCAGCAAGTGTCTTTGAGCAGAGTTGGTGCCAGGAGATGCTGGCACAACTCATCTCTGTTTAGTTTACATCTGTCAGAAGCAGGCAGCCTCTCAGCTCCTGTGTTTGGATGAGTGTATTCATCATATTTAGCTTTTAAACAATATTCTTTTCATCTTCCCTGCACTTCACAGCTGTTAATTAATCCCACAGCACTCAGGGATTAATAGTCACACTTTACAGGGAAAAGCAGAAATGAACAAGAAGAGGTCAAGTGGCTGGGCTGAGGTCATGGAAGCAGTTTTGTCGAAAGAACATTTGGTTCTGCAAAATGAAAGTGCTGTTAATTGATCTCCCCTTGGATGTCAGCCTTCATTTTGGGGGCAGGGTGTGTTTCTGGGGCAGTAAAATATGTTCACAGTGCTTTCTTCTCCCTAGGACTTGAAAGATGATCGGAGTGATGAAGAGGAGGAGGATTCTCTTACAGACATTGAAGAGGAGTCCACAAAGAGTGGCACCAAGAACAGCAGTGGGTCAAGCAAACACCTCCTGAGCAGCAGTCACCACTAGCCCTGTCCTGCCTCACCTCCTGCAGTGATTCCTGCTCTGGTTTTAGCCCAACCTACAGGACAGGATTTAAGTCAAAAGGCTTGTGAGAGACTGTGATTGATTTATTGTTGGCTACTGGACCTGGAAAAAAGCCCAGTTTAGAGGGGAGGGAGAAATTGCATAACATGACAAAATGTGTTAATGACCCACTTTCAGAATCGTTGTGGAGTGTGTGGAAAGATGTTTGGACACGCTGACTGACAGTGCTCCACGAGGGCAAAGCTCAAGAGAGTCAAGTAATTTAGTGTCCCGCTGATTCTAATGTTGTTTTTCAATCTGATATAAGATATATTTCATCAAACAATTTAAATCACAGATGTTTCGTGGTAGGTAGGTAGTGTGAACTCCATTAGGAACCAGAATTACTCAATGTGGGAAAAATTTGATAGTGCTGTACAGTGACTGGCATTTTATCTTTACTTTTCAGTTTAAACCCTCATCAAAATGAGTATTTTTCTGAGTTATATTTCATTTCCTGGAGGCCAGAGGAAGCGAACGTGGAGGAATTCAAATTACTTGTCTGTGAAGGATTGGCTTCAGTGTAGAAATATAGTCTTTCTCTGAAGTGATAGATAGCTGAAATATTGTGTCAAGGAAGTCACTGTTAAAACAGCAAAACTCAGCCCCAATTCTCCATTGAGCTCCAGGCTTCTCAAATGTCTTTCAGTCATTTTGGCCATTTCAGTCATTTCAGTCAAGTGTTAGAACAGAAGGTGCAGAGGGGAGAGAAAGGGGAAATTAAAATTGGGAAAAACACTCTCTGCTCCTCACTCATCTTCAGACCAGGGAGTTAAAACCAACTCTCATCCATTCCCTTCTTGTGACCTTGTCTCACAGCTTTGGATGCTGCCTTTTCTGGAGCAAGGCCACCAAGTTCTGATTTGTGGTTCTGGAGTGTTCACTGCAGGTACCCGGGCACTGGGGAGCATGGGACTGGCACAGGATGTCACTGTCACTGCTGTGGGTTCCTTTGGTACCAGGCTCTGTATTTCCATCTCTGCTCTTTTATAAAATCAGCTGGACCCAAACTTGGGGTATGTGACTTCAGCCACGGGCTGTTTATGCTGTAACCAGTGAGCAGCAGCTCCTCTTACCCAAAGTGCCTCTACCCTAAATTTGCACTTCTGTTCTAACACAAGGGGGGCTGCAGCAGCATTTTCAGTCCCGGGGCTCTCCATGGAGAGCCCAGGCCTTGTAAACAGGGTGGTGCCAGTCCCATTTCCCTCTGCATTAGCTCACAGGGTCATAAAGGATTTGTGTCATAAGTTTGGGAGGCGAGAGGCTCTGCATGTGGTTCTACAGTAGCTGAGATCATCTGGGGAGCTAAATCCAGTAGTTTGATGGAGGCCAGGGGACCACTCCTAGAGCAGCCTCAGTCAGCGTTCGGGTCAGAACGGCTCCGTTCCCTCCAGCAGGAATTGGTGACCTACGGGAAGCGTTACTGGACTGACTTGTTTTCCCAAGATTTCCTTGGCAAGTGGGATGTAATTCAGTGACTGAAGCATTGAAAGAATGGGAAATGTTTGGGATCTCAGATATGAAGAAAGAAGTCAGTTTCATGCAGTTACAAGAAGCTGTTAGGAGGGCTTTGGTACAGAGTCTACATTTTTACTTGTATTTTGACCGTTTTGGACCCAAATGTGCATGTTTTACCACAAAGGGAATTACACTGAGGAAGGAGCATGGCCTACAGCTTCTGAGAAGGAAGGGAGATGTGTGGTGGTGGAAAAGGACCCCTGTCCTGGTGCTTGTAGTTCACTTGGGCTGAGTGGGCAGAACCCTGTGGGCAGCCTTTGGTCACCAGTGCCCTTTCTGCACGAATGAGAACACCTTAAATACTGCAGGGGGGAGCATGGGGAGTGTAAGCACTGATGGCAGCATGTAAAGCAACTGCAGAGTTTGGCAGGGGCACAGTTGTTATCGGGGCCCGTTTATTGCCTGCGTGAAAACACTTTCCTAACAGAACGTGGAAATCCGGCGTCTTGGAGGATTTGCACTCCCCTGGGAGAGACAGCCGTGCTTTCTTCGAGATGTAACGGGCTTTTGGGAGGTGGCCAAGGTATTATCATTTGATTTTGGTGCCAGAAGCTTTCCTCCTATGACTAGGAAAGGAAACACAAAGGATGATGTTGTCACAGGAATGAGCCTCTGAACAACTACTGATTTTTAAACTGGAATTTATAGTCTCCTTGAGGCCAAAACTTTGCCTTTCCTACTCAGGACAAGTCTCCCACTGAAGCCAATTAACTCTATTGGAGTCTTGCCTAGGAGGAATTTTGGACTGCAGTTATCCAACCTAATTGCAAGAACTGTTGTTCTAAGTTGATGTGAAACTGAGATCTTAGAGGAAGAACAAAAGGTAGATGAATTCAATCAGATGTAAAACTTTGAGGCAAAATTTGGGTGAATACAGAAGAATATGGAAGAAAGTAACATCCTGAAGGTGAAGTCTGGGCACAGTGAGCAACTAAGTAATATTGCAGTGGGAGGGGGGGAAGGCAGGCCAGCCATAGAGGGCCCTTTCCAGGGATTACTGTCATGGACAACCAAGGGGATGAGACCTAAAAATTCTGAATGTAAACCACTGGTAATAAATACCCACAGCACAGAAAGAAGTGAGAATGGGCTGTCAGAGTGTCTTCTGTTAACATCAGGTTGGTCATTCCTGGAGTTATGTGCATTTAATTTCCCCCTTTTTACTGATGGAAACTCAGAAACAAGAAGCTGAGGTCATGGGGGCACAATTTCTGCTAAAGAAATTTATGTCATGGTGCTTCAAGATTTTCAGTCTATTCAATGCAATGCAATGAAGATTCAACATTTTTATAATCTTGTTGTACAAAGAGTCTCAAAGTGCAGGTGCAGAACAACTGTAGGTGTGTATAGGAGCACAGATGCTCTAACATTTTCTTTTTACCATTTCACAAAGTGTGTCCTGCTTCAATGAGTTGACACTGTGCATCTGGTTTTGCTGTGTCACTTTGACTGTGCCACATATTTCTGATAGAGCTCTAGACTGAAAATCAAATCTTAGTCCATAAAATGCAGGGGAAACTCTTCTGCTCTGTTTAATTTCTCTGGATTTAGTTCAGGTATTGCTGTCCATGTGTACTCTGCTTCCTCCATACTTGTGTCATACTTAGATTTACCAGCCTGCTCTGGATTGGGTTTACAGATCTCCTTTACTCCACAGAACTCATTTTGTCTATTCGTGTTATTTGGTATAATTATTTTTTGTTGTTCTTAACACCACTGACTTTGGTAAATTGAAATACACACTACAAATAAATATTTTTTAAAAAGAGGTGTCTAGGTGAGGATTTCCTTGTTTTCTCTTCCATGCAGTGTCCTCCTCTCTGCTTTCCATTCCCTCCAAGCTTTTCAATGGGAGCATTATTAGTTCAGGAAATAATTCCTTACTCTTCCAAGTTTTTCTGCTGTCTGGAAAAGCTGGATGTCTTCACAAGACCTAACAGCAATGTCTGTAAATGAACTTGTGTTTTTCTGAACAATTAACAAGTGGAGAGGAAGCAAGATTAATGGGGGCATCAGCCATCCTTTGTATTATTCAAGGTTTATGCTTAGACTAAAGTACTTGTGAGTGCTCCTGAGTACACCAGGAATGTTACACCTGCTTGTATCTCTACCCAGCTGGGTTTTGGGGTGCACATTAGGGTTGCCTAGGGAGTTCTCTGTGTTAGGACTGAGGTGCTGCTGCCCAGCAGGTGGTTGTGGGATTATCAGTGGCTCATCACAAGCACCTGTGAGACAGCTCAAACATGGATCTTCAGCTGGCAAAAGCAGGAAAGCTCTACAGAAAACAAGGGAGTTGTGCTCATTTATATCAGCTGAAAAACTTCTCCGTATTTCTTCTTTCCATTTCTGCCTCCCTGGTTGGGAAGATCACAGAGGTTCTGACTTACCTTCTCTTCTCATGGGCAGTCAAACAGAAAGGAAGGTGTTTCAGCCCAAATAATGAACTCTAGCAGAACACTTTGGTTTTATTAGCTGATTTTTTTAAGCTTATGAGTAAGAATAAAGCAGATGAAAAACAAACTGAGCAGGGCTGTGTGAGTTTTGGCTACAAACAACTTGCAAACTGTGAAGAATTGAAAAAAAAAGTTGCTGAATTTGGAAGAAAAACACCATCTCCACAGGCACTTCCCTCAGCTGTGGGTTTGAAGAGGAGCAATCACCAGGAATGACAGTCCATGCTGAGCCCAGGGATGCAGCCCAGGTGTGAGAGCAGCTCCAGGGCTGCCCCCGAGCTGGGAACCTTTGGTGTGGAGCAGCACGTGAGCCATGAATGTACCTGGGAGCTGATTTCACCCAAAGTCACTGGAAATGATTGTTCCTGGTTCCCTGGCAGTTTGATGGGCTCCCTCCAAGGAAAAGGAAGCAATCAAAGCAGTGTGATCTCCACCCAGGCTGGCTACAGAGAGCTTCAAGTGGGGCTCTTAGAGGTTGTTGGACTGGAGAACACTCTCTGGGGCTACCTGAAGTTTCTACTGTAATGGAAGACAAGGCTGAAAGCACAAGGCTGAGCTTTAACACACAAATCTGCAAACACAAAGTCATAACAACCCACACAGGATAATGTTGTTGATGTTCCAATAGTCTCAAGATTTATGAAAATAGCTTCTATTTACTCAGCTGGAGTGAGCCCTATTCTTCTGAGTTTTGTTACCCCATAAAGCATTCAGAGGAGACCCCATAATCATTTCAAAGTCAGAAACATTAAGTGGAATAACAAGTATAAACCCTCTCCACAGTGACTTTGAAGTGCAAGAAGCATGGCCTTGTAGCCATGGAGCTCTGTTTTGAGCTGGGTGGGAAGAAACAGGTCCCAGGCAGTTGTTTCAGGTGCTGAAAAGTCCATATTTTTCCTACCACAAAAGAAGCTGGTCTAAAAGAAGTTAAGTTGAGGAGGGAAATAAGTGATTAAATTTCCACTGAAATTCACAGGAGTTTTTCCCATGATACTGAATTAGACCCAGATCTCATGTGACAGTTACAACAAGGACAGCATGGCGCTGCATTCTCTAGCCAGCAGGCACAGCCCCAGGGTTTCCTCTTCCAATAGCCCAGGGCAAAATCCTCCCTGGAAATTTAGGATTTCTGTTTGCAGGACGCTCACCTAAGCACAGCACTGCCTGTCCCAATCTGGGCACGTGTCCTCTCAAGGACATTCCTTGCAAAGCAGTCCTCCCCTTTTCCAGGCAGAATCCTCACTTCCAGCGAGCACTCTGCTTCCTGTCCCCTGCCTGCTCAGCATCTGAGCAATACCTGGGCTGCTGATGCTAATGCCCACAATCCAAGACCAAATTTACCAGGAAGAGGTGACATAGGAGCCGTGGTTGTCACAAGTGCCTCAGCATGTGGGTGCAGCTGGAGATGGCTTCTGAGCCAGGGGAGAGAAGGGAACAGCAGGAAGAGCAGGAGCAAAAATGGCTGGGGCAACGCAACAACGGCTTAAAGGCAGAACTGACATCACCAAGAATCACAAAGCAGAGCAGTAACAGCATTAGGAGGAACAAGTCCCAAGAGAAGGAGGAGGAAAAAGACAGTAGTTCTGTATGGGGATCAGCATTCCGAGCAGCAGCAGCCAGCGTCGCCTGGACTCGGAGATGAACTTTGCAGCCAGGACAACTCCTCTTCCCCAAGCACCAGTGGCTTCACACTGAGCCCAGCCAGAGTTCCCAGGGCAGGAGCGAAGCAGGAGGATCTGGGAAAAGCTCCTTCACAACATTCCCAGTATGTGAGTGAGGGGACTGGGCTGGGGCTGGGCCAGGGCAGCCACGAGTAGAGCCCAGCAGACCTGCAGCTGCGGCAACCACCCCGCACTTCACCTCCAGCTGCTGAGCCTGACTCCCCCTTGGACCTCAGAGCTGGTTTTGTGCTTTTCCTGGCTGACTGGAAATCCCAGGAGTCCTAAAACTCCTGTGAATTCCTGGAAGATTTGTATGTTTGCTTTCTACAACAAAGAGCAGGAGAAAGCTGCTAAAAGGCCTTCCTACTGCACCTGTGGGTAAGTGTCTCAGTTGTCATGGGCTGTAGACAGAACAGAAGTCCTAGGATTTCATAAGAATCTGTGGGAGGCAGGAGCTAAATCTTATCAGGTTGTGCTAAATCTTATCAGGCCGTGCAAATCCTACCTAGTTCCTTTGCTGATTTAAAGGAGAAATTATTCAGCAACCAAAGAATGTCTCATACATTTCCCCATTGCAAGGGCAGCGAGGTCAGGCAGGGATTGTGTGTTTGCAGGGTTTTTTTGCCTTTGGGTCCTGCAAGGGTGAGCAGAGAACAGGACTCTAGCAATGTCCCCTTTAGCCTAAGGGCAGGGCTGTTCTATCACCCTGACCATTCTGCAGGGCATGCACACCTTCAGTGAACCGGGGAATTGCTTCCCTGGTTGTGGCTGCAGCTGCCTCTGGAGAGCCCAGCGCTGCTGGGCCTGCTGCGATGAGAACGCCCCGGGCCCTGCCGTGCCACCCCCGTGTTGGTGACCTGGTCATTGCTGCGAGGCCCCACGAGGTGGCAATAGCAGGACACGGCTCCCGTCGGGACACGGCTCCGTGGAGCGTTCCCGTCCATCTTTTTGCCCCGGAAAACAGATTCCGTTGAATATCGCGTTGAATATGCAAACTTCATGCAGCTGGCATTTCCACTCGATCGGTCTCTGACTGTGAAACAGGTGTCGGATAAAAAAACACTTCAGTTTTACTGTGATTAAGTTTGGTGCCAGTCCAGAGGCCCCGTGTGCTGGTGTCCCAAGGGCTGGCATCTGCCTGGGTGTCACCACTAGCCCTTTCCCTGTAGGTACTGTCCTGCTGTGTCTCCTGGTACCAGAGCTGTACCTGGTGTATCTGGGGTAGGGCTGGAGCAGAAAGGATGTTAAATCTGCTCTGACACTGCTTTACTGCCTGTCATTTATCCTATTGACTCTTTAACCTACATATTTTTCAACCACAGGGTTTGTAGCTGGCGGTAAGTGAAGTCCTGTTCTCATCTAGATCCTTAATGTCTGTAATGCAAATAAGGAGCATAAATCTTTCAGAATAATGGGGGTTACACTGCCATTCTAATGATGCCAATCTGATGGTGCCATTCCACCTCAGGAGACAGGCTCCACTCCACCAAAAGCATGAGGTGCACACTCCCACACTCCCCACGGGTGTCAGCAGGAAAAAGGGACACGTTGTCCAAACAAGCTGCTTTGATCCCATTTGGCACAGCCCTCGTGGTCAGGCTGTGCTCAGCTACGAGAGCTGGGATCTGGTTTGCTTTGATAGCAGGATGAAAAATTTCCATGAGCTCTCTCCATAGCAGTGGATGGACAGGAGGTGTTTGGATGCTGTGGGTGACAACCTCCGTGGTTCCCAGCTAACCCCAGCTCTTCCCTGGGATTCACTCAGAGCCAGGAGACAGCTGGATTTGACTTGCTGTCCCTGCAGATTGGAGCTTTGGGGTTGCCTGCAGGGCTCTGTGCAGGTTTCCATGGGCTGGTGCCCAGCTGTCAGCACAGTTCCCTCCATCCCAGCTCACAGACGGGGCTGGAGAGGATCCTCCCTGCCAGCAGGTTCACTGGCACACTTCTCCCCTCTTTTCCTGCGTGTGTCCAGCCCAGAATTCCTGACAGCCAGCCTTTGAAACAGTCCTAGAGTTTTGCTGATGTTTTGCTGTTATGAACAAACACTTGCAGCCAAGCCAAAGTCAATTGCCAGCTCTGTTGGGAGAGGGGATCCAGCAGCAGAGGAACATCTCAACTCTGTTACTGGTTTGCTATATGATCTTGCAAAAAATGACAATATTGGCCCCAAATGGACTGGGATGAGGTATTGGTGGCTGTTGCTGATTAGGAGCAGGATGTGTTTCAGACTCCAGGCGTGTTGCTCCCTCCAGACCTTGCACTGACCTCATGTTAGTGACCCTGAGCTCTCTGCTGACGTGGGCAGTGGGGTTTCCTCGCTGGCTGTGCAGGAAAAGGCAGCCTTTGCAATCCCTTACAGGAGTGTGAGGTGAACAGCATCTGCCAAAGTGCACAGGGCTGCAGATGTGGCCCTGCAATGGTCACAGCACATCCTGCCCACCCTCCTTTATGCCCTGAGAACAAACATGCTTTCACTGCTTCAGGGCAGCCCAAGAGCCCAGAAAGTGGAGCTCTTGTCCCAAATAGGTGCTTCAGGTGACCCCCAGGCCAAACAGCCAACACAAACAGACAACATCAGTTGACCAAAATCAGGTTTGGTGGGGCC